CAGATCCGATCCGATTGGCATGGTAGGAATTTAGGTTAAAAGTATATTACATTCCCGAAGGGGAATGAAATATAACCAGGGGCGGTCAGAAACTTCTGTTTCTCTTCACCCCCACTACATAATTAGAAATAAGTAGGCGAGGCTTTTACGAACTAAACGCTTACATGAGTGAAGGTTTTAACTGATAATTTTCAAAGTGACGAACTCACAAGCTGAGGGAAGAGCTGCGAGGAGACGTGGGGAGGAAGAAGAGAAAGAAGGAGAGCTTTGCTGAGTTGTATGTTGACTGCAGACGTTTTCTTTCTCTCTCCTGGACTTGAGCGTTGGATGACAACGTTCTGTTTCGGGAGCGGGTGAGGTGGCGAGAACAGGAACTTGTCGATTTTGATGAGTCGTGGGTTTGTTAGTGTATGATTCGTGACCTGGAGGCTTGAGGGGAAGAACGGTGGAAGGTAGGTAGCATCGTCTGGGTAGAAATAAACATTAGTTAGCAAGTGTTCTGCACTGAATTTGGAGGTAGTAACAATCTTGACGTATTGGGTTGGCAAGTTTGTGATTCTTGATTTGATGCGGTAAACTGCATGAATTGTATAGTCTGGTATGGCCTCCAGGCTTGTGTGTATGTCATCGGTTGAGATGGACTGGTCGACGTTTCTAAGGAAAACAGAGAAAAGTTGTGAATTAGCTCTGGGAGGTTTCCAAGTAACTGGTGGGTTGGAGTTCCATGGGGAACAGAGATAAACTGCGTCTTTGGGAGTAAGGGGCTGAATAAAAATTCCTCCCCTTCTTAAAAGTCTTGTCTTGATCGGGTCGATGGCTACCTCGGGTTTGTGTTTTCTTAGGAAAACATTTATCCGATTGAGGGAAAAATCCTTAGAAATGCCGTGGATAATGACGGGTGAAGCCGTAGGCAAGTGTTGAGTGGGTTGCCTTCCCGTAGAAAAGTTATCCACTTTGGCGCGGAGCTTGGTAGGACACGTCTTCATGGTTCGGAGTCTCGACTAGGAACCACTAAAAAAAAAACCACCCACTACCAACTTTTGAGCTACTCTTTTATCTACAAAAAGTGGGATTGGCCGTCACATGGCTGAAAGTGCAAGCATGTTCGTTATTGGGGATTCAAATCCGTGATCTGCAGATTGCGAGTCGAGCACTCTAACCAGCACTCAATCTGTAAGGAAACTTATTATTATTTGACAAGCATCTCAATTACTGTGATTGTTTTTTGCTTTGGGCCCAAGTATTTTTTTTCTTTTTATGAAAACGTTTTCTTTTTCCTACTTGATAACTTTTGAACAATTTAAATATTATACACACATATTAAGATAATGCTTGTTAGATATACACCGCTGTCTCACTTAAAATTTAATATGAGAGTTATGATCTAGATAGTTATAAAGCACGACTGTTAAATTTAGTATTTTTGGAAGCGATAATTTATCTCAGATTAGCTTACTTAACTGTTTATGAATCATATGTTGTGTAGCTCAATTGTTGTGAGTTTACGTCACGTTACTCGAACCTTCTGAATTTTTCTCTCTTTGCTTTAAGTGAGTATTGTTACATCATAACGTTTCGTAATTTGTAGAAAATTCTAGGCCTCAGTTAGGCAATATATATATTTTCATATATAGGTGAAAAAGTTTGTGAGAGTAAGTAAGTTAGTGAAAGTATAAGTGAAGTTAAACTGCGTGATAATAAGTCTGGCCATAAAGGGGTATAGTAGCGATTTCTAAAGTGAAAGTACCAAAGCTTTGTATTGTAACAACAGAAATAGAGGAGAATAAGTTGTCTTGTCAAAGGGTGTTCTAAAGTAGTTGAGCCCGCCTGTGTGGACTTAAAGTTCTAGATACAACTTTGATAACGAATAGGGTAAGGAATTCTTGTACATGCGTTTGACTTGTTTTGAATATATTATTTTTAAAACAAGTGGATTGTGTGCTGTCCATTGATTGATGAAATTTATCGCCAACAAGTCACAGACATCTACTGTAAAAAATTCAGCCCACACATAGGTAAAAATCTGACAATGCTAGAAAGCTCAGAATTTACTTGTATGTGAAATTCGTATTTCTCTGATACATTAAATTTCCTGATTGAAAAATGATTCATGGTTCTGTTTTTGTTCTTTCTCTTCTACAACAATATTATTCTTATTGGTGCATTTAAGTGTTTTACACTCACAAAAAAGAAATCTATCATTCTATAAGTATTTGAAAAAACATTCCGCGACAATTTAATTCTTCGTATTGTTAGCCGACAATGGACAGCTGGTACATAATTGAATAAAGTTGTTTAAGCGTTTGTTTAACAACAAGTAAATGCTTGGAATAGTCTATTCTGCCATTAAATTGTGGCGGAATGCTACAAGTTCTTCAAATACCTATAGAATGATAAGTACCTTTTTGGTGAATGTAACACGCTTAAAAACACCATTTCGATTTTCGATACATCACTACTATAAAGGGTTGGTTTTGGTCTGATATTTTATTGGTGGTAGTGTCAAATGTGAAACTGATGAGGAGTGGAATTCTCCGAAATTAGTCTGGCTGACAGACACATCCCCAATGAAAGAATACACCATCCCAAGCATTTACTTGTTGTTAAACAAGTGTTTAAACAACTCTATTCAAGTATTATTCTCAATATTTATTCCTTCCATTATCGATAACTTCCCTCGTATAAGAATGGAACGTTATAATTCATTTTTACGTTATTTTTTTACTAGAAATTTTATTTGATTATTACCAATACGTAACTATTATTAAAATAGCATTTCATAACTATTATAACTTGAGAAAAATGCAAGAAATGAGTCAAAATCACTTCTTTTTTTTCTAAAAGACGAAGACTTACAGAGTTAAGATGCAAATTTGATTTAGGGGCTTTCTTCTTCTCGGTTGCCCGGCATGGCCAGGTAGTTAGGGCGCAAGACTCGCAATCTGAGGGTCGCGGGTTCGAATCCCCGTCCCACCAAACATACTCGCTCTTTCAGCCGTGGGGGCGGTGGGTGGTGATGACTAGCTGCCTTCCCTCTAGTCTTACACTACTTAATTAGGGACGGCTTAATTGACTTAAAGATAAGTAAAGACAGTTAGGGAAAGTTTTAATGAAGAACTTTATATTGAGAAGATGTTTGTTTGTTTGTTTTGAATTTTCGCGCAAAGCT